GTAGTTTTTTTATATAATTACAGTGCCTCTTATTTTATTATATATTTAGGGGAGTTTTAGAAAAACAGTTGCTATTATACAATTTAACCATGCTAGGATGGGAGTAAATTTATAAATTATTTCATTTGAAGTGTAAAATTACTTTATACAATAAAAAATTAAAAAATTAAACTAATATGTAAGGATATAATGGAAAATAAATTAAAATCTCCCCTCCCCTCCTAAACAAAATAATGGATCATTAAAAATTGAGCAAGACAATTCCAAATCCCATTGAAAAATACATAGACATTTAATTAGTTGCCTTCATTATAAGTCCATATAAATCTCTTTTTACCAGATTATTACAACAAAAGCATGGCAATAGAATTAGAAGGAAGAAAAAAAAATTAAATTTACCTATTTTTATACAATTTTCAAAACCACAAAATAAACTAAAAAGTGAAGATGAAATTACTACCTACCATTCCAAACTCCTAGATCCATATGTGCAAGCATCCTTGTGGTTACCGAGCAGAACAAATCGATCGGGTTCCTCCAATCCTTTTGTCTGCAAAAACAATAAGGATTAAAAAAAACCCAAGACATAATGAAACCATGCATATTAAAATAAGCTTCACCAATCACTCTAGTTTGGTTGAAATTGCAAAGAAAGGATGAATCAACTTAATTTGAATTAAAAGGAAAATGAATCATATCAAATAACTCATAAATAGGCTTAAATTTGATACCTTTTAGTATTCCATTGATCTGATTTCTTTGCAAAACCAAGCCCCCCATAAAAAGCTGCTAGTATCTTCACTTTCTTCTTCGCCATCATTAGATTTCATGAGCAATCTCTTCATGAAACCCAAGGAAAATAAAATTCAACAACAATCAATTTGTAAGTTTGTTGTGTCTAAAAACGCTTAAGCTAATGGCGTTTTATAGATACAAATAAGTTTAAAGGTGAAGAAAATAATAGGCTGTCAAAACAATGTGCACCGAAAGTTTCATAAGATATTAGGTTTATGATTTAAAAAACAATGGCCTATCAAAATAGTGTGCGCTGAAAGTTTCATCAAATATTAGGTTCAAGATTAAAAAAACAATTGGCTATTGAAACAGTGTGCGCCGAAAGTTCCATCGAATATCAAGTTTATGACAAAAGATGATGGGTTGTCAAAACAATGTACGCCGAAAGTTTTATTAAATATTAGGTTTATGATAAAAAAATAGACTCAAATTTTATCAAATAACTCAAATTCCTTGCGGTTGAGATTCACAAAACATATCATTTTAATAATCTTGAAAATTGTGATTGTACATCTCGAGATGATATGATATGTAGTTGTTTTCTAGGTCTTATGAACGATTGAGATCAAACAACTAAAATAATATTATTTTGAAAGCAATAATAGCATATCCTTAGCTTGATATTTACAAACTAAAATGAGCATTAATATAATTGACTTATTATATTGTATAACTATTTATGTTACTTTTCACATATAAGTTTGTTGTGCCTAAACACGCTTATGCTAATTGCATTTTATAGATACAAATAAGTTTAAACGTGAAAAAAACAATAAACTATCAAAACAATGTGCACCAAAAGTTTCATCAGATATTAGATTTATGATTAGAAAAAACAATAGGCTGTTAAAACAATGTGCACTGAAAGTTTCATTAGATATTAAGTTTGCAATTAAAAAAATAATGAGATATCAATACTGTGTGCTGGAAGTTTCATCAAATATTAGGTTCATGATAAAAAAAACAATTGGCTATTGAAACAGTGTGCCTCGAAAGTTCCATCGGATATTAGGTTTATGACAAAAAATGATGAGCTATCAAAACAACGTGCACCAAAAATTTTATTAGACAATAGATTTATGATAAAAAAAATTAAACTCAAATTTCATCAAATAACTCAAATTCTTTGTGATTGAGATTCATAAAGCATATCATTTTAATAATCTTGAAAATTGTGATTTTACATCTCAAAATGATATGACATATAGCTATTTTCTAGGTCTTACAAACAGTTGAGAATAAACAACTAAAATAATAGCATCATTTTGAAAGCATTACTGGCATATCCTTACGCTTGATATTTTACAAACTGAAATGAGCATTAATATAAAGAAAAATGATAATAAAATCTATTTAAAATATATAAATGATAATTTGATTCCTCAAAATGTCATAATTCTCCTAAAGTCTCTAGAGACTTTTCTATCATTAATGAATTTATATAAATTACCAAATTGCCTTTGTTAAAAATAAATAATTCACAAGTGTTTTTTAAATATTCACAACTTCTCTTCTTATATTCACAACAATACTATAGCAAATCATAACTTTACATGTTAAATTCTTTATTTGTTGTTACATTGTTATGCATATAAAAAGGAAAGTTGTGAATATTTAAACAAAACTTATGAATCATTTATTTTCAATAAGGACAATTTGATAATTTATATAAATTCATTAATAACAAAAAAGTCTTCAAAAACTTTAAGAGAATTATGACATTTTGAGGGACCAAATTGCCATTTATATATTTCAGAGGAATTTTATTATCATTTTTCCTTAATATAATTGACTTAATATATTGTATAATTATTTATGTTTCCTTTCATATCAAAATTATTTCCTTCCTTCTTATGTATAATCATGGAAATTGGTTTTGGTATTTTCTCCTTCCATAACTTAAAAACATGGTATAAACGATCTATGAATGATATCTTGGTTGTGATAGTAGCATTTTCACTTTGGCAAACCAGTTTTCTTTGCAAAATGAAGTTCAACGTAATCCAAGAGCATTGGTAAACTGTGACTTTTAGAGGAAAATTTTTTGGCAACCTTGGTCACTCATCTATAAATATAATCAAAAGGTATATGATCTAGTTTTACATTATAACATTTCTGATCGTTTGAAATAAAAATGCTTAAGATTATCTACCAAGATGAAAAGGAAAAACTAATTATATTTCAATTAGATAAAACAATTTCTATTACCACATTTCTTTATGATATATATTCCCTCCAACATCAAATTTGCAACTGCAGTTTTTGTTATATCAGTAAAGCATCATCGTCTTCTTATTCTAAGAACCCCTCATCAATTATTAAATGTCTATTAGAGAATGATAGTTAACTCCCAAAAGGTTCAATTGATGATAGCTAGGTTCTTGTCAAAACCTCTTTTAACACTTTCCCTTGCAATTAGGAGCAATATGGTTTAGGCAAAACAAAAATTAAAACCCATCAATTAAAATTCACAAATTAATCATTGGGTTACTGCCCATTTAGTAAGTTCAGAATTTTTGTTGAACCTTAAAAATTCATAACTAAATCTAAAAAATTCATATGAGGATGCTCTAAAATATATTAAAAGCTCGTAAGTTCATTACAAGAGAAAAATATGAAACAAGACTTTTAATTTGTCCAATTGATACATTTTATTGTTTTTTTTTAACTTTCTCTGTTTCTTGGATAGGTCCTGTGCCTTAAATTTAAAAATCCATATCTTGAAATTCAAGAATCCAATTGCTTCGATTTTAAACTTTCTTGAAAGATTAGGATATCTAGATTATAAATAAAAATTATTAAAATCAAAAGAATCCATTTATTGCAAAATTTGCTATGAAACAACAAACTTTTAATAAATCCTACATCAAAGCAGCTGTGCATTTTCTTGCTTTAATTATAACTCCATGAAACTTCTAATCATACATTAATGATCTAGACACATCCAGGATGTATTGATATAATTTAGCGCTAATTTATACACCACATGTGAATTAAATACACTTATGAATTCAATTTTACAATTTCACTTATTGGAACTCAACTTGAAATTTATTCTCTACTTTCTCCTCTTGCTTTTGCTCATGATTGTTCTTGCCAGCTTAAAGCCCAACATGGTTAGTGATTGAAGAGTGAGATTGAACAGAATCTCAGTAGCATATAACTAATTCAAACATTTAATCATGCATGATTAACTTATCTCATGAAACCTTACCAATCAAAATGATTTTAAGTTAAAACATACATGATCAAACAAGGACATAACACATGGCAATGGCATGAAATCCAAGCAAAACATCTCATGAACATATATGATCATGTCAATGTGATTATCATGGGAATGTGCATGCTGTAAAGCAAACAACACAACTAAAATGTAAGAATTAGTAAATGCTACCTGTGTACTTTAGCTTTGATTTCTTCAACCATATTCACTATCGATCATTTGCTTCTCTTGCTCATCACATTCTTAAAGTCTCATTGATCGAATTTTCCATTCCACTTCCTTGAGATCTCATGATCCTAAAGACACCATATACATAATTTATTTTATCCATTATCCATTGATCATTATAAAACTCTTAACTTCTCAAACTTGCTCTTCTTTAACTTAAAATTTCACTTTCTTTAACTCTTAGACTTATTCTCTTGGCCATTTCCCACTCAATGTTTCAGGGGAATCCAAGTATAAACTCATATTAACAGAGTCTCAAAACTACCACATGAATTCTCTTTGCCAAATATGTAGGGTTTAGAATGCAAAAATTCCAATTCATGTTACAAATCATTAAACTCATTCTCTTAGCATTTCCTTCCTCCATTTCACGACCTAAATTTATTGAAATGGTTGAACTGAATGAAATCAAATTCGTTCTCCTGTTTCTTATCTTGGCCGAGCACTATATATGGTAAAGGAAAAAAAGTAAAGATCAACCTAATACTTTGTAACACCCTCAAATTTACAGACCGATTTTTCGCAAATTATTAAAACCATTATCATGGTAGAAAAATTTCTACCACGATACATCCAAGACAATATACCACAGGTCTTAAAATATCTAAAAAAAACAATTAGAACCATGAGGGACAGACATGATCCTCATAGCATGTTATTCAAATTAGATCATAAATCAAGAGGGACAGACATAATCCTCTTGGTCATATAAATACTTTTAATAAAAAGGATTAGAGTTTACATGCTTCACAAAGAAGATATGTCCTAAGTTGGCACAAGACACATTGTATAATCTAAAATAAGAGGCAACGTAAAAGATGGTGTCTCATACACCACAGTTACACCTCTGGTGCTTTCTCGGCCGGACTCGCTCCTGTAAAAATATTAACCACGGGGAATGAGACTTAAAAGTCCCAGTAACCAAAAATTAATATGTTATGATACATGCGGATGTAACTAATCATGCGATTGCTAAGTGGGCACACAAAACATTTAACCGAACAATACTTTCAAACAAACCGAACAAGTATTTAATTTGCATGACTGCACCTTATATCCTCCTTTCGCCATGCTCGGACGCCAAATCACCCGGCCAAAGGTGAGTTGGACCAAGCGACACGCCACTCATTGGGTCCAATGAGGGCTTACCACGTGGTAATAATTAACCGAACAGAAATTTTCATTAACACCATACATTAAAATACCCTGACAAGTCATGCATCATTCAAATATCCAAACAGGAATATATCCGAACAATAATATCTCATCATGATAAACAAAAATAAATTTTTAACCCACTTGGCAATAATGTCAAATAAGTATATACAGTATTTATTTTCAATAATTCATAATTTTTCCAAATAACAAAACAACACATAATCATTCACAAACACACTCATCACAACACATTAATAATGGTTACCTTGTGTCTTGAATAACAAGTTCCCCTTCACAACTCCTTTTTCACCACTATCTTTGTCAATATAATCTACATAATTATTTCACAATACTATATATTAATTTTACATTAAAATAAATAACTCTAATTTAAATAGTTAGAAAGTCTTAGATCTATAATCCATATTAACACTAATTTAAGATTTATGCCTCATTTAACTTCCCAAATTCTTTTCTAAAATTCTCGTACCCTAATAAACTATTTTTTTTATCCTCAAATCACTTCTAGTATCACAATTTCATCCTTCTATATTCTAAAAATTCGTCCAAAAATAAATTAAATTTTTAAAATTATCCTGAAGCCTCAAATCACCTTTCTATAACCTCAAAAATACCTATTCATACTTAAATAAATATTTAATAATCATAGGTTTATCCCTACATCTCAGATTCCACATAAATTCAACCATATAGATCTAGATTTTAACTCAAAAATTCTTAAACATGAGTTTCAACCTCAAGAAAATATTCTATAATATTTATTATATCCCTAAGAGTTTTAACCTATATTTTTAATCCATCATATCATCAGATTTACTATCCTATAGAAAAAATCCTAATCAAAATATTTACTCTATCCTACAAAATAATCATATCACTAGAAAGCTAATATTATTTAAAAAATAACTATAAAATTAATTTTGTAATTAAATAAATTTTTAAATGCTAATCTAAACAGGAAAGTTAGAACATACCTGAAGAAAAAAGAAAATAATCCCCCCTTGCGAGAAAACGCCGAGCAACGTGAGAGGAAGAGAGAAAAATAATATAAAAATGGGATTGTGAGTCCCAAAATTATATTAAAAAAAAAACTATAGGTTTGAATTTAATTATTCAAACCTTTGGGCCCAAAGTTGCAATTTTCTCTAAATTGCATCTTAGCCTCTCATGCTTCCTAATGCACACACCCCCTCCTTTTTATACATGAAGGCACCTCTTCTCTTCTCTCATCTAACCAATGTGGGACTTAGAAACAACAACCTTCCACCCCCCCTTTTTTTTTGTTCCTTCTACCTTTCTTTTTTTTTTAACACACACATAAAAAAAATTATTTATGTATTATATCTTAACTAAATATTGCTTATGTGGTTTTAAATTTAAATTTTTAAATTCATAATTAAATAGCTAACCATAATATTATTTCTAAATAACCTCAAATAATATAAATTCCTATTATTATCATTTTTTTTCTCAAAACCTAAATTCCACAATTTCTTTATTATATAAAAAATCAGGATGTTACATACTTCATTCTTATAGATCCTTTAATTTTCATTATAATATATTCCTTCAATTTCTACCAAAATTTTGGTAGAGTTTCACCTTATTTCCCTATAGTTTCTGTAACATCCCAAAAATTGAACTAAGATTAATTAAGCTAATTAAGAATTAAATTAATAATTTTGGAGAAATATCTAAAAATAAATAATTTTAATTAGAGGATTATTATTAAATTTAATGTGAAATAAAATTTAAATCCTGAATTGTGATTTTTTATAAATAGAAACAACAACAACAACAACAAATTAAAAGAAAAGAAAAAACAAAGAAGAAAAAAAGGAGACGGTTACTCTGTGTATGTGTGTTTGATATATATATATATATATGTATGTATGTATGTATGTATGTATGTATGTATAAAATAAAGAAAGAGAGAAGGGATGTTGGTGTGCGTGTATGTATTAAATTAAAAAAAAAAGGAAGCCACTGAATTCATTTTGAAAAGGGCCTTGGTGTTTATATTATTATTATTATTATTATTATTATTATATATAAAGATATAAGAAAAAGATGTGGGATCTACACCCATTTTAAAACACACTTCATCCCTTTTCATTTGTCCTAATCCCTTCCTCACCTCTTCATGTGTGCAATAGAAAAGTGCAAAAAAGAAAAAGAACAGAGCAAGAGTGTCGCCGGTGGTAGGAGCTAATTTAAGAGATAGAGCTCTATAATATAATACTTTATATGAGATTTCAATTATTCTAAAACTAAGTAAGTATTCTAAACATTTTTTTAGTCATATTTTTCTTTGAGTTGTAGATTTTGAGACTATAAAAAATCTAAGGTTTGAAAGAGGAATGAATATTTGATGAATAAATCTGATTATTGAGGTTATTGGTAGTATAAAAAATATTTTAGAGCATTATTTTGTTTTTGGGTTAAACCTTAGACCTCTTTGGGTAGATTTTTTGTTAAATTTGAAGATATAAATTGATTTGTTGATGTCTAGATGATTATTTGAGATAAGAAATAAATTATTATGGCTATAGAGTAATGATTTTAGGCTTAAGACTAAGTTTGCAATTTTTGAGTATTTTTAGGTGCGAATTTTTGAAATAAAAAATAAAATTTTGATATTAGAAAATTGTTTAAATGATGATTTTAGCCAAACTTTAATAAAATTATTGTAAAGGAGGCTATTGAACCAAATAGTTGGGTTCAAATATATGAAATTAAATTTTAGAACTTAAGAGGTTAAGACTAAGGTCTTAAAAAATGAAATAAAGTAAAATAAATACTTAAGTGTTAGAATATGAGTGAAAATTATGTTAATAATATTATTGACATATTGAGATATGATTAATTATAAATTAATTTCCTTTTGACACCATTCAGGCTTTGAAAAACTTTGAAAGTGTTGCAACTTAAGGGATAACTTTTGATTTCTCGAAGGTTGAGGTAACCAAGGGAAATTTGTTTCATTCATTTGTGTGTTAATTAATTATTTATGTTTGTAAAACAAATGAATGTGTGTGGGTGTATCTAAATCTTGAATTGTTATTTGTAATACATATTGTGGCTTTATTGAGATCCTATAATTTGTAAACTTGTTAATTGTGACATGATTTGAGTGATGAGATTGAGGGTCAGTGTTGATGTGCATACTCTTAATTATAAATTGTGAATTATGCATAGTGATAAATTGTATATGAGCATGTTGAGTTTTATATGATGCTATTGTGATTTATGTAATGATATAAAAATTGATACAAGAGGTATGATTGAAATATAATGATTCTTGATGCTTGTTGAGCAAGAAAGTTGATGAGCATGTGGGATAATTGTACATTATATGAGTTTTTGAAATGCATTTTCTTATGAGCATGATCATATAGTGGGAGTTTGTCTCAGTGAAGGAGTTAGAGATTGTGCAAAATCTATATGGTACTTAGCTATCAACCAATAATCCTAGGGGTTATAACCGCTACTTACCTTATCAGGTACTGTAGCATTGTTTCTATTAAGGGACTTGACCCTACTAGCCTCCTTAGAGTTTTGAGTATGACATCCTATAGCGTGTGATTTAAGGAAAATCATGTTCATAAGTGAGTTAGGTAACCCTAATCTGGTAGCTTCTCATGATATGATTAAGGCCTTAGGTAGTTTCACCCCATAAATGATCCCTTCTGGTTGTTGGCCCATGGATTTCATGTCAAAGGAATTAGGGGGATATAAGGAAGAGATTGATCATGCATATTATTATTATCATGCCTTTGAGTGATTGATGGCTACGTTTGAGATTATAATTGTAATTGTGAAAATGAGAACATGTGGTAAATATGTGAATAATGTCTATGTGGCCACTTGTGCCAATTTTGTATGAATATTCAGTACTTGTGGGCAATCATGCTAATTTTGTACTCAACTTTACTCTTGAGATTATTCATATGAGTTAGATGTTAATGTGATTAACATATTCTTAATATGATTGTTTATATGGTTACCTTGGTGAATTTATTAGCCACTTGCATTCTTAATTAATTATTATGCATTTGTATAACTTAGATGTACCTTGGTTACTGAGTGGTTGTATTCACCATTCTCTTTTAACATATTGCAGGAGCTAACTCATTTGAGAAGAATGGAGGAAAGGAGTATTAGGCCAAGTGATAATAATCACTTCTGTAGGCCTTTCTCTTTTTACTTTGATATGTGTATTTAATTTATGATATTGCCAACTAGGATAATATATTCTTAATCTACTTGCATTACGGGTTTTATGTTGAGTGGAAATGTATTTTGGGCCCTTGGGAACGTGGTTTGATAATTGTGTTTATATTAATGGACTAAAATATTTATACAAGTAAAAATAGTTATTATATGTATAATTTAAGAACTTGAATATTATTATGGTCTCCCCTTGTGTTTTGTTGTCTAAGAATGAATGGTTGATATTAATTATATATAAATGAAAAGGAAAATTCATGCATATGATGAGCTATTGATAAATGAATGATATATACATATCTAGTATGAAAGCTAGGTGACAATTATTATGATAAATGTGATTGAGACTTTGGCTTTCCGCTGCCAGTTATGAAAGAATTTGAGTGGTCAAATGTTATGTTGGTAAAAATATATATTATGTGGAGTAGGACATAAAGAGAAAATAAGAGAGAAGTTTTCCATCTATCTTGAGATGTGTTTTTTTTAATCATGCTTCCACACATATTTAATTGAAAGATATAAGCTCTTGAAATACTTTAAAGACTTGGGATCCTTTTGTTTTAAATAGTTTGTGAAAATACTTGTTAATGACTTGTTTAGGTTAATCTCTATAGGATAACTTTTTTGAATTAGTCCTTAATTAACTATGATTAGTATGATGATTTAAGTCCTAATTTAGGACACCCTTTTACAGTTTCCAAGTGTTTAAAACACTTTCGAATAACAACAGCAACATTCAAAAATAGCCCCATCAACCAACCCAAAAATTAAATCATAACCTTATTCTTAAATGTTTCTTCTTCTTGTTCTTCTCCCTTCTTTCAAACCCATGGCCTTACTTTGTTCAAGAGGAAGGCAAACTTCTTAACTATAGAGAACAAAACTAAGAATATAAAAGAAAGGATAGAACTCACCTTAACTCCTTGCTTCCTCTCCCACCTCGTACCTTCCCTCCTTCCCTTTCTTCTTCCTTCTTTTCTCTACCTCATTTTCAATCTCCCATTGTAACACTTGCCTCGAGTATTATTCAAAAATTACATAATTCAAATAAATTAAGTGTGGTTAAGGAGTTGATCCTCTAACCAACTTAAGAAATAAATCATTTAAAACTTAAAAAAAATTATAGGTTCTACCTATAGTACACGGAAGCAAGCTAGATGAAAATGGAATAAAAAGATGCGGTCATGACAGCATTAAATTGCTGTCATGACAGCTCTCCTAGGCCAACTTCCGGAAGGTGCTGTTCCATCATTCGACCTCTGATCGAAGTAATTTTAAAGTTCACATGTCACATCTAAAGGGTACTATAAGTGTACCAAATTTCAAAAAGATCCAACAGTCGGATTAAAAATTAGACATGTAAAAAGATTAGTTATTTTTATTGTCATGACAGCACCTCCGAACTAACTTTCGGAGTGCACCATTTCATCATCCGACCTCCGATCAGAGCAATTCCAAATCCCACATGTCACTTTTAAATATTACTATTAGCATACCAAATTTTGAAAATATCTAATGAACGGATTAAATTTATTGCATGTTGCAACATTATCAATTATGTTATGACAGCACAGCTCCTTCGGACCAAATTTCAGAGTGCGCCGTTTCTCCGTCCGATATACAATCGACATGATTCTAAAGCCCACACGAATTTTATAAAAGGTTTTACTTGTGACCCAAATTTTAGAGAAATCCAACGGTCGGATTAAGATTTGAAAACCCAGATGCAAAAGTACAGGTTTTTGGTAAAAACCATTTTTAAAATTGTCCAAATCTCATCCTAATGGTCACAAACTTGTGAGAACACTTTGGACACATCAAATAGGACTAAAAACACCTCATAGAATATTTAAATGGTAGAAAAACCCTTTATGCCAAAATTTGACCACTCGAGCGCCATTTCTTAAAATGGACCCTAAACCCCCTAAATGCACAAATCACACAAGAGTGGCCAAAAACTATTCTAAATATCATATACACATAT